ATGGCATAATAGGGGCACTTTAAATAAAGGACTCATAGTACCATAGTGAAACTGTTCAGTTCATGTGTAAATGTTAGGAACAATACTGTTAACTTTCAAATAAAGCTTTTCTTTTATCAGTTGACTGTGAGAAGTGTCTGCCTCAATTCTGATTTGCAGTGTCTGCAGTTTTTAATCATGTTACGCTGTAATTTCACAATTTATTTTATTTAAAGGGATAGTTCACCCAAAAATGGAAATTATCATCATTTACTCACCCTCATGTTGTTCCAAACCTGAATGACTTGAACTAAAGATGAACTAAAGTCATACAAGTTTGGAATGACAGGTGAGAAAATGATCACAATTCATCTAATTTTTAGGTGAAATGATGGCAGATAAAAATGCTTAGCAATTTTGCACTTCATTCCATTCCATAAGAATGATATCCAGTCACTTCATGAGCATATTTGACTGAAAAATCACATGGTTCACAGAAATCACCTGCTTATTCCTGTGGGATGCTGTGCAACCCTTGCATGCATGTGAACAGTAATGAAGGTCAATTTGGAGGTATTCAATGCTATTGGTTGCTGGAGTTTTTTCATACCCTACTACAGATGACAGCTGCTGTTTAAGTGCGATCTTTTGCCTTTTTGTGATTTTAACTGCTTAGCAACAGCAAACTGAGGGTCAATGTTTACCACAGTGTGGTTCAAATCACAACTGGCATCGATGCATAAACATATTCAAACAATCATTTGTTTTACTATACTAAGAGATAAGGTTTACAGGTTTTTATCAAATTTAAGGATCAAGCATAAATCAAAGTCTGACTGATTAGCGCTTTGAATTAGACTACTGACAATACTGGCGAGATATCCATCAACACAATCCCTGGTGCCGGTCATTCCGAGTAACTGAAACACATCTGATACTGTCCTTCTGCAGCAAAGTTTCCAAATGTGCAGCCAATCCCACTTGAATTCACAGAAAACCAGCCGCCCATGTCTTGTTTTCTTCGATGACAAAAGCAAATGGATTTCTGCCAAAATGTAAATTTTAAACTGAGGAGAGATCGGAATTTCGATCGCAGCAAAAACAAAATGGCTGTAGTCAAAAGGGGGAAAAAAAATTAAAAATGAAACGGCCCTCCTCCCCCTGTAGCTTGCTGCCAAAAGGTGTTCTTGTTCTGATATTTGGTTTGGAACGGCTGCCAAAAATTAGATATGTCCTTGGATATCTCCCTCTTTCCTTTGTCTCCTGTCAGGACTTGGCTGTCCTCCAGTGCAACTAGCCATAGCCAGGAACAGAGGGAGCTCCATTCACACACGTCACTTTGGATTTAGCCTTTGCTCAAATACTGTGGTCCTTTTGTGTAATCGCAAACTCTATATACGGATACAATAGGTTTTCTGGAATCTTTTTGTGGGCAAGCGCTCCATAAGTAGATGTCTTTGTGTTTTGATAAACGTGATCAGTCTCCTCATCTGACCTGGGATCTTCCATTGGCTTTCCATGAAACGATGAAGACTTACTAACAGTTCCTCTTCCATTCTGAAACAACTAGCTATACAGTCATAGTCAGAACCACAGCACTCAAATCAAGATTTTATATTGTCCCAAAACTCCATAACCCACAAAACTCCATAACTCTATATAGCCTCCATTCCTGACCATACACCATCAATTCAGTTCAAGTATTTCATAAGGCCTCAGTGAGGATAAAGGTTTAACCAATGCTTCTGACCAAACTCTTATGCAACCAAAGCATTGATTTTCCTCAAATTAGGCTAAATGCCAGATTTGCCTTCATATTCCTCTTTAGAACTTTTTTCTATTTGTGCTAACCGAAGCATAAATATTGAGGTCATGTCTTTATTAAGCAACAGCACATGATAAATTATTATGAAAGTTGTTGTAAGAGAACAGGATGGTTCACCCAAAAATGAAAATTCTGCATTCATGCACTCTCATGTCATTCCAAACCTGTAAGACTTTCTTTCTTCTGTGCATAGATATTCTGTGGACAATATTTTGAATAATGTTATTGTTGGTAACCAAACAATTTTGATTACCAGCGACTTCCATTGAGACACTTAGCAAAATATTTTATTTTGTAAATGATGACAGAATTTTCATTTTTGGGTGAACAATCCATTTAAGGTAAGATATTCAACGCATATCATTTGTCTTGTATCCTCAAATGGCATCAGTCTCCTAGAGGTTGTGTCAAAATTAAAGTTGGCATTAAATGGAAGTTGGGTAGATAGAAATTGTAGTCCATTACTGATTCCAATTTACATGACAAAAATTGTAGTTAGTAACGTAATCCATTACATTACACATTTTAGGTAATATAACCAGACTACATTTCGATTACTTTTATCACTTTTGACTTAAGTCATTTATCACATTGATTTAAATATGATAATCTTCATATTGTACCATATTGATATAAAAATACAAAGAGAAAGCAAATATATTCCATTTGTTGTAATTAACAACATGAAGTGCCTTACACATTACATTACATCAAGGTATTCCAAACAAGGGTTCGTAAATGAACGGGTTTTTTGAACCTTAAACCGCATAAACACATTTCATTACACCAAATACACAAAATAATGTTCTTTTTAGCAACATCATATGACCCCTTTAAAATATTTATTTTAAAATCTCAGGGTACTTCAAGTAAATATATTAGGTGAAAGATGTGCTGATGACAAAAAAGTTTGGGAATGCCTCCATTATATGCAAGTAAGAAATAACGTGAATTTGTGCATTTGAATGTGTTTGAAAGACAAAAGCCTTAATAGTAATACATGGTTAAATAACCTACTGAGTGATAATTCAAATAAAAATGAATGTGTTCATTAGTGGTTGAAGCAATGTTCAAACACTTCTTAAACCTGAAATTATTTTTGTAAATCCAGTTGTCAAATGCTGGACTAGTGATTGGTCTTTGTGTGAATGTCCACAAAACTGGAAGACCTTCTAAGTGTATAAGTGGTAGGCTATTTTAGAAAGGAACATTTAAAATATGGAAAAGAGGAATTAGGGAGAATCAATAAATTATTAATAATTTATTGCCATTGTGTTAATAATATGTAATCATGTAATCAATAAAAAAAGCAACTGTAGTTTGATTACAAGTATTTTAAAATGTAATTTAATCTAATTACAAGTACTTAATTTTTGGAATCTGATTACCCGGCTCTGGAAGTTGTGATAGTCATTTTTCTATTGTGACATATATGACAAAAAGCTTCTTGAAAGAGAAAAAAAACTGATTTCATGGTGGCTTTAAAGGCACAATATGTAATTTTATTTGCCACTAGAGGGCGCATATTCAAAACAAACAAATAAACAAAGGCATAGTTAGATGACGCCGTGACTGAGTGTGGAATCATGGGAGTTGTCGTCTTCATCCCCACAGCCGAAGCAATCCGATGGGACTTGGGCAGAAATCATGTTCATGGATGAGTTAATGATTTATTAGCGTAGTAGAATGAAGCAGGGTGAGGCTGGAAGCCGTCGAAGCGAAACAAGGCCGCTGAACGAGCGTGACACACAGCTCGAAAGCAGCGGAGCTTTTATTATGCCACAGTTGACCGCATCCGCTCCTTCCGGTCGTGCGTATGTGGGACAATGTATTAAAGATTTATTAACATCGTAGTATGAAGCAGAGTGAGGCGGAAAGCCGTCAAAGCAAAACGAGGCTGCTGAACAAGCGTGACACACGGCTCGAAAGCAGCAGATCTTTTATTATGCCACAGTCGACCGCTTCCGCTTCTTCCGGAGTTCTCTGGATTTAAACAGTCTTCGAAACATTTGGGATAATGTAAGTACACAAGTCAGCAAAATATATAACACTGTTCCAGTGGTTTTTAGATATATTAATAAAAAAAATCTTACATATTGTGCCTTTAAGTTTCCCTAAAGAACATTCTGTTTCAATCCAAAGATGCTGAAAGCCACTCAGATCACTCTTAACTCCTCCCCTTTCTGCAATTAGGCACAGATTTCAGCCAATCAAATGAGGGGCATGATACTAATCTAAGATCTGCTATTTATGGAGAATATTAATAATTACTGAAGTCCCTCTTAAATTCTCGTTCTGAATAATATCTGATCTTGGTAAATGTCAGCAAAGAGTCATTTAACAATGACAGATCAGATAGGAAACCAAACACTTAAGTTAACGGTTTCATTATTGCTACCCATCACAGAAAAACGTGGATGTGTCTCAAAACCTAGTGAGACTCCTACTTGACAGCATTTATGGGCAGCACAGGGCGTTCGACTGCCCACAAACACTGTCTAGGTAGACAGCTCGCTAGGTTGTGTGACACATTCAGTCTGTAATGAGTAAGAACACAAGTGACATGGAAAGCAAGCCTACATGGTGGGTTATAGTGGAAATTACTATAGGCGCTTGACAGTGCAAACACACGCCTACTCTATCAGCGGGAAACTGCCGCATGGCCACGATTACACTAAATTACGCTGAAAAATGCATTTTCCTTTGAATATACCCCTATATATATATATA